CGGAGAGGAGAACATTTGATTTCAAGGGCCTGCCTGGTGCTGCATTTAGAGGAGGCAGTGAGGGCTGCTCAGGGAGTCTGGGCCACTTGTGTTGCGCCTCTGCCCTCTGCACTATCCTGGGGCTGCAGCACCTCCACTGAGATGCTCCACCAGCTTCCTAATGCCCAGATGCGTGCTGGCTTTTTGTTTTTCAGTCCAGCTACTTCCTTCTATAAAACTCACTGGCCGTGAGATCCGCTACATGCAATGTCAACCATTATCTGTTTCCCATACTGGTCACCGCCTGGAACCCCCCTGTTAACTCTTTGTCCAGTGCCAACACAAACTTCTAGCTCTCCAGTGCCACCTAACCCGCCATCGCCGCAGGGTTGGTTCACGTTCTCTTTGCTTTCTAACCAAATTCCTGACACACACACACACACACACACACACCCCAGGTCTCTGGGCGGGGGGGGGGGGGGGTCTCCTGAATCCCACAGACCACACCCAAAGGCCGGCCCAGGAAGCCACCACACGCCCCGCCCCGGGCTCTGCAGGACCACTCAGCTGGGAAAGCTGCTTTTCCAAGAATGCAGTCCCTTAACACAAAGACCTGGCTTTGTGATGCAGTAGCCACCCCAGTGGCTTATCACCAGCCTGATAACAACAAACGGCTCTTATCAGGGAGACCACATTTTTTTTTCCCCAACTGCAATCTCTCAGATTCCACTCTGCCCAGAGCCCAGTCTTGATTATGAACTTTCACAAGGTTTGCAACAATGGTGAATGCGCGCTTTTGTCCAGGCAGGTGCAGTGCGCACAGGGCTTTCGGCCCTGGGGTGGGCAGCGCCAACAGAAAAAGCGGCAGGAGCATCAGAACGGCCTGAAGGTTTGGGGGGGGGGAGGGGGGGGGCGGGCTTGGAGGGTTTTAGATCAAAGCCTCGGCGAGGTGGCACTTGAATAACCGGCAACTCCCAAATTAATGTCATTTCTGTCACCCACTACACCTACGCCTGGTAAAATCACAGGAGCACAACAGCCCCCGACGACCCTCTGCGGGCAGTCCCCACTTCCGGCCTGCGCCCGAGCCCCCGGCGGGTGACCCTCCCCGGTGGCCCTAGGACCCCCACCCCTACTCCCCACCCCCAACGCGGCACAAGCGCCGCCGCCTCCAGGCCTGGCGACCCCAGCACACCAAGCCCGTTCTCCTGGGGAGGGTCGGCCGGGACCCATTTCCGACACGCAGAGGGCGTGAGCGGGGCTACGTTAGAGCGAGGGCCAGTGCTGGGCCCCAAGCCGGGCCTTCGCCGCAGCCCCGCCACCGCCTCCCCCGGCGGGGCCCGGTAGCGGCGCGGCGCGGCCAGCAGATGGCGCCGCAGCTGAATTTTCGCGAGCCGCGGTCCACGCCCGGTAGAAGACTCGGGGGGGGGCAGTCAAGGGGGGGATTTGTCTTTTTTTTTTTTTTTTTAATAGTGGTCCCATTTTCAGTATCATCTGGCCTTCTTTGTCGTGCCAGAGACCTTTTTACGGGGACACATCGGAATGAACGTCAGCTGTTTGACTATCAGGACGCAACCCCAAACGTGCGGGTTTCCAACTCTTTCTGCAAACAGTCCCGCGGCATTTGTTGTTAGGGAGGGGTTCGGGGGCCAAGGGAGGACGCGGCGACACCGCCGCCTGCCGCCGAGGCGGGTAGAGTGGAGAGGGCGCGGGCTCCACGCGGCCCCGCGCTTCCGTCGGGAGAAGCCTACGCGCCCGCCGGGGCCTCTGGCGGGCAGAACGGCTTCCAAAGCCTCCCCCACGCTAAAGGGCAGGTCTGGCCTTTTGGGTAACGTTATTTAAGGCGATCCCGAAGGCAGATGGAAAATGGAGGGCTGTGGGAGCCCTCTCTGGTTTACTCCATCCTGAGGTAAATGCGAGTCCCCAGGCGTCATGCGAAAGCGGATCGTGACAACAACGGGGCTGGGGGCTGCGCCGCCGCTTCCAACCCCGGCCTTCATTCGTATTCCAGGCTTGCGGGAAGGCCCTCCTCCTCTCCCCACTTCCTTTTCCTCCTCGCTCATTTGCCGGGAGCCTCGGCGGCGCTCGGCCCAGCGCGCGTTGCTGCAGTCCACTGGGGCAGCGCGGTGGCGCCACCGCGCCCCTGCGCCTGCGCGGCTCTGCGCTCGCGCCCGCCCTTGCGCCTGCGCCCTGCTGAGAAACCCGCGCCTGCGCCCTGCTGCGGAGTTCTCGCCCGCGAGGCCCGGCCTTCAACGGCGCCCGGGGTGGGGGTGGTGGGGGTCGATGCGAGTGTGAGCGCCGTTCCCGCATCTGTCCTGGCGATAGGGTGAAGCCATGTGGGCCCGCAGACTCGCACCTCCCATAAGCCCGCACGCTTTCGCGGGGAAGCAGCCGGGGCCAGGGAGAAGGGGGAGGGTGGGGTCTCAGCAGTGGCTGCCAGGGCCGGAGCCCTCACCGTCTCCGCGTTGTTTTCGGGACACGGCAGCCGTGGTTCCGCAGTGACCTCGCGAAATCAGCGAGATCTCTGCCCTTGTTTATCTGCACACGTCTGCCCAGGCCAGCGGGAGCCGCCCCGGCCCGGCCCAAGCCCGGCCCTTCTGGGGTGGGGGCGCGAGCTGCCTGCTGGCTCTTTGTTCTGCCTTGGAAGATGGGGCTCCAGTCCCAGACGCCAGCTGCTTTCCCTTTCCCCTCCCGCGGGGAGCAAAATAAATTCATCGCCAATAATGCTTTGGACGGCGTATTTATGGAGCTAGGAACTCTGACTGTGGGATCCAGGGTCAAACTATTTTGAGAGTCCTTTTTTTTTTTTCCATTCCTTGTCATTTTTAAAAGATATTTAAGGGATACAATATTTCAGGTATTTCCGATATATTTTTTAAAGAATTCTAATGTGAGTTTTTGTCCTGGACTTCTAGACAGGGATTACAGAACTGCGCCCCTCTTTATGAAAATAAAATAAATAAAAAGACCACCCGCAGAAAGAGGTGCCATGGACACTGCTGTGAATTGTACTGGCCACAGGGTGCACCTTGCATTTAAGTCTGTGATTTTGCAGGTTTTGCTAAGGAACCATCTGAGATATGTAGCCTGTTTACATTATAAATGACATTTTTCTCCTAAAAACGATTCAACTTGGTCCCTTTAAAAGAAAAGAGGAAAAAAAAAAAAAAAACCACCACTCACAATGGCTTATCCCTGATTTAAGCACCGAACTAAGACAAAGAGTGCAGAGCCTGACAGCTGCGGTGGCCTTTTATGTTCGGTTAGAATCCCCACCGCGGAAGCGAGCCCACCACGCGGGTTTCGGCCTTGCGGACCGAGGAGGACCTGGATGGGCATATTGGAAACACCGCAGGTTTCCTTCCCGGGGGAGTCAGCGCTCAGCCCTTGGAGGCATTCCCTCCCAGGGTGCTCGCCCCCCACCCCTTTCTGCTTTTTCTCTAAGAAAGTTATGTTTAACGATTTCTCTCCCCCTCATTCTTTGCGGCTGACCTAGGAGGAAGTGCGGGCGCCCCGCACCGGGAAGCCAGCGTGGCCTGAGCGCTTTCGGGCGAGGGGTGACCCTCGTGCTTCCTCCTGCCCAGGCCCAGGCCGGCTTCGGGCCGTTCTGAAGCCCGATACTGACACCGAGGCACCAAGGCGTGGAAGGGATTGCAGATGCCCTTGTAATGAACGGACAGGCTTGACAGAATGGCCGCTGGGCACACACATTCATCCTCCTGGGCCTGTGTAGGACACCCAGCCGGCACACTCAGTGGGTTCTGGCCAGGGACGGTGCACGGGGCTCCTGTGCTGCCTCCTGTATGGAGGAGGTTTGAGCAAAAAGAATTAATTACAGGCACTGGGAGGGCAAGGGGTCTGCTTTGCAAGTCCCTGTGTTCACCCATGCCCAGCAGGGTGACTATGCAGTGGGTATTTCAAACTCCTTGCTCCTTGCTTTAACACACACACACACACACACACACACGAGAGGAATGGCTGTGCTGGGACCCTGAGGCCAGGCCTGCTTGATGGTCAGTTCGATAGTGATCCTTTAGAGACAGAAGCCAGCAGCCAGGGTGTTGCCAACGTCTCTGACCGGTGATGACAGCAGCTGACAATCCCACTCTGAATACTCCACCTGCAACATCTGGTGTCAGCCTCACTGGGCCCGCAGGCTGCGGACCACTGCCATTGTTACTGTCACCCTTATCCTACACGGGGCGCAACGTCACCCCAGTCACGCTGGATCAGTTAGCCGCAGGAGGATTTGGGAGTGGCTCCCGGGCTCCTGTGCACAGAACACCCAGCAGTGCCACCACGCGTGGCTCCTCGTGTGAGGATTAGCCAACCCTTCTCAAGCCTCTAAAGTGGCATTGGCGCAAGCACAGATCAGAACCTACATAGCTGGTGTGCCTGGGTTTCCTGTTCTGTGTGCTGTGTCACTGAGTACCCCGCCCTGTGCCCTGGGTAGTACGTCACTGTTAACTTTGAGTATTGTGAAGACAAGTCTGTGGAAGAGTAGGGTAAACAAACAAACAAACAAAAAGTAAATGCTAGAATACCCAGAGGCGGAGAGCTGACAGCTTCTGAAAGCTGGCCTGCCCTCACTTGCTGGTGTGGGCACTCTGCCCGCCTGCCTTCCCTCCCTCCCTCCCTTCCTTCCTTCCATGTGCTCAGTATCCTCCAGTCAGCCACCCGCTGTGCCTGGATTCTTTTTTTCCCCTGCCCCAGAGACACAAATATGGTTGCATGTGGACTTGCTGTGCCATTAAAAAACTTCCAATGCACAGGCAAGGTAGGGAGAAAACAGTGAAAAGTAACTATGCGTGGAAGGCTACGGAACAGTTCAGAAGAATGAATCAGATTTAAATTCAATGCCGAAAAAAGACAGTTTTTTTTTTTTTTTTTTTTTTAAGAGCAAGTTGAGAGCATGAAGTACAGCATGGCAGCATCTGTGTTTTAATAAGACACACGAAAGCGATGTGATTTGCATGCACACACAGACACACACTCACACATCTGCAAACCCAGGAGGTAAACAGTTGATTATGCCTTACATTGGGAGTGGTGCTTTCTCTGGCATGAAGTGGGTGTTACTGGCAGACTTGTCCTTTGTCTTTTTGCAAGATAATTTATTCATATCATAGGCATGGAAAAGAGAAAGATAAAGGGCAGAAAAGGAATAGGTGGCCCTGCTGGAAAATAAATGAGACGAGCAACGTGCAGTAAGGCAAGCAGCACTAATGCACCCAGCAAAGTCTAGTGCGGATCGGTTAGGAAGAGAGTCCTCAGGCGGACATGTCAATCTAGGGCTTTTGAAAACTGACCCTCTCTGGCCTCCGACACAAAGACAGTCTTGAGACATGCCCTAGAGTTGGTACCAACAGCCTGGATTCAAGACACAGCTGCCTCTTCCTGTAACCTCAGGTTAGTCTCTCAGGCTTAGTGGAGAGAATGGTCCCATGCCTTACAGGGAGCTGGGTGCGGTGGGGGCAGACGTGATGCGGGGATGCAGACTCTGCCCGTGCCACTCTCTTCCCATCCTCTCTCCCCCTGAGCTGCATGGAATCATTTGTCTTTAGGATGTCTGAAATGTGCCACAGGGAGGGAGAGCTAAGTTGATAAGCTGGCAGGCGGTCTTTGCTATCTGCTAATAGCAGATAGGCCTTCGTTATTTGAGACTTGCTGCCGACGCATGGTTTTTAAACTTCAATAATGTGCACTCATGTATTTACTGTAAGAAATACACTGACATGATTCATTTCTAAAAATAATACCCTTTCTCTATGAGCTCCACTTTTGACGCAAGAACTAAAATACCCAAATCAGGCCACTTAAAGTATCAGTCAAAAATATAATCACAATTGGTCTGGCATCTTAAAAATGTGTTTTTTTGTGGTCCTAATACAATTTTAGGCCCTCCTGAAGTGTCAAGAATCAAATTCCACGCCCTTATTCAGAAGGACTGCAGGAACAATAAGAGAAACCATAGTGCCCTCAATATAATTGAAAACAAAAGGAAATACGAACACATTCATGAATGCCAGTGCCATGCTCACAGCACCGTGTCCAAGCCACGCGGGATACAACTATTTTCCATCACGGTCTCACCTCTGAAACAGAGCCAGGGTCTCCTTTGCTTTCGCCGGATGTGGGAGCGACTGTTGAAAGAGCACGAGAGCCGGCAGGGTTCCAGTGAAGTGGAGCAGGATGCTGGTGGAGAGGTTCTGCAGGTGGGTTCAGATGGAATCCCTTTGCAGGAGCTCACTCCAAGCACACAAAGCCCCCGGCTCTCCCAGGCTTCCACCACCCCATTAACTGGGCTGTCATTGCAGGGCTGGGTACCCATTGTTCACTTTCTTCTCCTCTAATTAGATTTGACAGATTGCTCTTCGGGCGGGACTGGCTGCTGCCAAGAGCAGAGAGAAGAGAGATGAGGGTGACCTCGCCATTACGCCCTTGGGATCCATCCAGCCTCTGATGCTGCAGCCTTAGCAGCTGTCAGGCGGCCCTTCCTTTGCCTCCAACCTCTTCCTTAAGTGCCCCCTGGCATTCTCAGTGCCACTGAGCTTCCTTACTTTCAATACTGTAGGATTCAAAGCCCAAGTAAGCGGTGGGAGTGAAATAAACGGTGCTCTAATATTTTTCACAATAATTCTCTGACCCTTTTTTTTTTTTTTTGCAGCCCTGAGAAGAAAAACAGATCATGTCTCTCCCTACCTATTTCCTCTATCTCTTTCTGCAGGTTAGTTTTACTTATTTATTTTAAGATTTATTTGATAGGCAGAGTTACAGAGGGAGGGAGAGACAGATCTTCCATCTACTGCTTCACTCCCCAAGTGGCTGCAATGGCCAGGGGTGGGCCACACTGAAGCCAGATGCCTGGAACTCCAAGTGAGTTTCCAAATATTCTGGCCATCTGCTGCTGCTTTCCCAGGCCCCTTAGCAGGGAGGTAATTAGCAGAGCAGCCAGGACTTGAACAGGAGCTCTGGTAGGAGATGGCGGTGTCCCAAGCAATCCTTGAATCTCTGTGAAGGCATGGGATACGGCAATTAAGGTGCCATCCGGGATGTCCACAATTCATGTTAGACTGCTTGGTTCAAGCTCCGCTCCACTACTTCTGATGCAGATTCCTGCTAACCTGTACCCTGGGAGGCAGCGGGTGATGGCCCAACTACTTGGGTCCTTGTCACTCGCATGGGAGACCTGGATTGAGTTCTGGGCTCCTGGCTTCAAGTGGTCCTGCCCTGGCCATTGTAGCCATTTGGGGACTGAACCAGAGGATGGAAGATGTGTGTGTGTGTGTGTGTGTGTGTGTTTGAACATGCACATGCTTGTATGTCTTTCAAATAAAATGAAAATTACTAAAAAATAATTTTTGAGTCTTTACCGTATCAAACACATGCTATAAACTGGGCTATACTGGTATTTTTTAAGAATTAGATACTGGGGCCAGCATTGTGGCTTAGCAGGTTAAGCTGCCGCCTGCAGTGCCGGCATCCCATACAGGTGCAGGTTCGAGTTGTGGCTACTGTATTTCTGATTAGCTTCGGCTAATGTGTCTGGGAAGGCAGCAGAGGATAGTCCAGGTGCTTGGGACCCTGCATTCACCCAGGAGACCTGGAGGAAGCTCCTGGCTTCAGCCTGGCCCAGCCCATGGCTGTTGCAACCATGTGGGGAGTGAACCAGAGGATGGAGGACCTCTCTCTCTCTCTCTTTCTTTGTAACTCTGCCTTTCAAATAAATGAAACAAATATTTTTTAAAGTTTTATTTAATTTTATTTGAGAGGCAGAGAGAGAAACAGAGAAAGAGGTCTTTCATCTGATGGCCACAACGGCCAGAGCAGCGTTGATCCCAAGTCAGGAGCCAGGAGCTTCTTCCAGGTCTCCACGTGGGTGCAGGAGCCCAAGGACTTGGGCCATCCTCTACTGCTTTCCCAGGCCATAGCAGAGAACTGGATCAGAAGTGGAGCAGCCGGGATTTGAACGGCGCCCATATGGGATGCTGGCACTGCAGGCTTACCCGCTTTGCCGCAGTGCCGGTCCCTGAAACAAATATTTTTTAAAAAAGAATTAGATACTGAAGTGATGAAATTGGAAGTGAATCAGCATATAATGCAATATCTTTGGAAGATTCAAAAACACAGACCAAAAGAGGGAAGTGGCACGCACAATGTGTGATACACAGAGAAGCTGGTTCATAGACTTTAAATGCCTGGCACCGAGCAACAGCCTGCCAGCCAGTTTTGTCAGTAACCAGCCATTTCCCAGTTTAATCAATGCTGGATAAACCCTACTAGCCAGAAAAGCAAGTTTTTTTTTTTTTTCTTTTTTCCCTCGGAGGAAGGAATTCTCAATCAAGGATTATATTTTCCCTTTACTGAGAATTTAATGGCTTTGCAAATGCCACTGTGCTCTCATAGGAACACAAATAGAAGTGGCCTCACCCTGACCTAGCCCTGACCCTCTCCTAACCTCAAAGAGTTGTGAGCAGCCTTGGGGTGCAGTGAGTTAAGCCTCCACTTGGGTGCCTGCCTCCGGTATGGGAGTGCCGGTTCAAATCCCAGCTGCTTCCAATCCAGCTCCCTACTTCTGTGCTCGGGAAAGCAGCAGGGGTATTTGAGTACTTGAGCTCCTCCCAACCATATGGGAGACCCAGATGGAGTTCCCGGCTCCTGGCTTCAGAGTAAACCAGAGGATGGGAGATCTCAGTCTCTATCACTCTGCTTTTCAAATAGATACTTTTTAAAAAAGATTTATTTTATTTATTTGAAAGACAGAGTTACAGAAAGGGGTAGACACAGAGAGAGAGGTTTTCCATCCGGGGTTCACTCCCCAAATGGCCGCAACAGCTGGAGCTGCGCCAATCCGAAGCCAGGAGCTTCCTCCGGGTCTCTCATTTGGGTGCAGGGGCCCAAGGACTTGGGCCTTCTTCTAGTGCTTTCCCAGGCCATAGCAGAGAGCTGGATCAGAAGAGGAACAGTTGGGACTAGAACCAGCGCCATATGGGATGCCAGCACTTCAGGCCAGGGCGTTAACCCAATGGGCCATAGCGCCAGCCAAAATAATTGTTTTTAAAGAGTTGTGAGCAGGAGTTCTTTCCAGCTTGAGTCCCACCTCTGCTTCTAATCCAGCTTCCTTTCCTGGAGGCAGCAGAAGATGACCCAAGTACTTGGATCCCTGCCACCCAAGTGGGAGACTGGAATGGAATTCCTGGCTCTTGGTTTTGGCCTGGTCCAGCCCTAGATATTGTGGGCATTTGGAGAGTAAGCCAGTGGATGGAAGATATTTCTCTATCTCTGTCTCTCAGTTGCTCTGCTTTTTAAATAAACAAAAATGAGATAAAATAAAGAAAAAATAAAGGAGAAAGTTCTTCTGGGAGACAATTTAGTGTTTACTGAGTTATTATGTAAACCCATTCATTTACAGTCACTCACCTACTCCTAAGCATTTATTAAAAGCCCATTACTTGCTAAGCCACTGCAGACTGACAAGACTATAATGAGTAGGACTCAGCCTGGAGAAGTCAGAAGTCACCAGCTGAGGAATTCTGAGCCCTGGTGCACTGTGGTGGCCATGAGGGGTCTTTCTTGGTATAAGAAAACAGCCACCAACGAAGAGATTAGAAATTTTGGAAGAGATCCACAGGAACAGGACACAGAAAGGGAAGAACTGTGGCTCTGATCTTGGTAGCTCATGGGAAGCATTGTAAGATGGCTCTGGCAGGCAGATGGGTGGGATGGAGCAAGACTCAAGGCAGAGAGGCAGTAAGAGACCATCGCAAAAACGTAGGTGAGATAAGGTGGCTGACCCAGTGTCTTCAACAAATCAGAGAAGAATAAAAGGAGATTGGGCAGGAGGGAAGTTTTTTAGTTTCTAAGGAACCCCAACCACACACAAAGAGACAGTTAAATGCAATGTATACACCTTGTTTGGATCTTGATTCATACAGAGCAACTGTAAATGGAAAATATGGGAGACCGAGTATTAGATGATATTACAAACAAACCACTGCTAATCTTTTTTTAAAAGATTGATTTATTTGTTTATTTAAAAGGCAGAGTTACAGAGAGGCAGAGGTAGAGGTAGAAAGAGAGAGAGAGAGAAAGAAAGAGAGAGAGAGAGAGGTCTTCCATCCACTGGTTCACTCTCCAAATGGTTGAAACAGCTGGTGCTGGGCTGATCCAAAGCCAGGAGCCAAGAGTTTCTTCCTGGTCTCCCATGTGGGTGCCTGGCCCGCCAAGTGGGTACCAGTTCAAGTCCTAGCTGCTCCACTTCTGATCCACATCCCTGCTAATGTGCCTGGGAAAGCAGTAGAAGATGGTCCAGGTGCTTGGGCCCCTGCACCCATGTGGGAAACTTGGAGGAAGCTCCTGGCTCCTGGCTTTGGCCTGGCTGAGTCCTGGTTGTTGTAGCCATTTGGAGGAGTGAACCAGTGGATGGAAAATCTCTCTCCCACACCCCTACCCCTCTCTAACTCTGCATTTCAAATAAATAAAATAAATCCCTAAAACAAAAAGACTGGCTAACACACCTGCATCTCATATTGGAGTGCCTGGGTTTGCTACCAATGTGGCTCCAGCTTCCTGCTAATACAGACCCTGAGAGGCGGAAAAAGCAGCTCCAGTGGCTGGAGACCCGGATTGAGTTTCTAGTTCATCTCTGATCTCTGGCCATTGTGGACATTTGGGGAATGAGTCAGTGGATGGAAATTCTCCCTTTCAAGTTGAAAAAAAAAAAGAGGACACAGAGGTATTAATGGATAGGATGTTATGATGTCTGATGTCTGATATCTGGATTTGTAATAAAACCCTTTACCAAAAAAACAAAGTGACCATGGGAAAAAGTTAATAATTCAGATGATGGGGGCTGGCGCTGTGGTGCAGTGGGTAAAACCGCTGCCTGCAATGCTGGCATCCTATATGAGCACCAGTTCAAGACATGGCTGCTCTTCGTCCAATCCAGCTCTCTGCTGAGGCCTGGGAAAGCAGTAGAAGATGGCCCAAGTCCTTGGGCCCCTGCACCCATGTGGGAGACCTGGAAGAAGCTCCTGACTCCTCGCTTAGGATAGGCTTAGCTCTGGCTGTTGTAGCCATTTGGGGAGTGAGCGGGCAGATGGAAGACCTCTCTCTCTCTCTCTCTCTCTCTCTCTCTCTCTCTCTCCCTTCCTCCCTCCCCCTCTGTGTCTGCCTCTCTGTAACTCTGTCAAATAAATAAAATATTTTTTATTAAAAAGATTTATTTATTGCTACTAGCATTATGGCACAGTGGGTAAAGCTGCTGGCTGCGAAACCGGCATGCCATACAGGCACCAATTTGTATTCTGGCTGCTCCATTTCCAATCCAATTCCCTGACAATGGCTTGGGAAAAGCAGAGGAAGATGGTCCAAGTGTTTGGGCCCCTGCCACCTATGTGGGGGACCTGGATGAGGCTCCTGGCTCCTGCTTTCAGTCTGGAACAGCCTTGGCTATTGCGGTGGTCTAGAGAGTGAACCAGAAGATGGAAGATCTAACT